CCCACCCCCAGTCCCCTCAGGGCCTGCTGGATCCCCCCCATCCTCTCAGGCCCCACTAAATACCCCACACCCCATCCCCTCAGGGTCCCACCAAATCCATCACCATCCCCTCTCCCCTCAGGGTCCCATTAAATTGCCTCATCCCCTCAGTGCCCGCCTGGGTCCCCCCATCCCCTCAGATCACACTAAATTCCCTCATCCCCTTGGTGCCCGCCTGGGTCCCCTCATCCCCTCAGATCCCGCTAAATCCCCTCATCCCCTCAGATCCCGCTAAATCCCCTCATCCCCTCAGTGCCCACCTTGGTCCCCTCATCACCCTCAGATCCCACTAAATCCCCCTGTCCCCTCAGCACCCGACTGGCTCCTTCCATCCCCTCAGGGTCCCACTAAATCCCTCTTCCCGCTTTGTGCCCCAGGACCCTCTCGCGTTGGAAGGGGAACGGCCCAGGGAGGTGGCAGCAGGGTTGGCCTGTGAGCCTGGGCCCAGGCGCCATGTTCTACATGCATTTGCTCGTCAACAAGCGTGGGCCGTTGGCCAAAATATGGCTTGCTGCCCACTGGGAGAAGAAGCTCACCAAAACTCATATATTTGAGTGCAATTTAGAGACTACCATTGAAAAGATCATCTTGCCAAAGGTACGCTGTTAAATGATGAGGTGTCTTCTGGTAAGTTCTGGAGTAGAGGTGTACATCTTCTGTAGAGATTATTGCTATCGTGGAGACTGACTTAGTAGGACAAATTTGTGGCTATTTCAAAACCAGTGTGAGGTAAATTCCTACTCTGATTTTATTCAGTTCTCATTCAGATAAAATCTCCATCCCTAATGGGGATCTCCATCCCTTTTAACAATGGTGGCTGCTGCTTAACCAAGTCAAGGGTCTAAGAAAACTGCTGTGAAATTGCACACAGACTGTTCGAGGAAAATGCATTTGCTGATCTTGTAACAAATAAGTTTTGACAGATTGTAACCATACTTCCACTTTGAGTGGAATCCTTCCAGGTCCCCTATTATAAGCCATTAAATATTTGATTAAGCATACGTAGCGCTTATGAGCATCTCTGTATGAACAGTCCCAGAGGCTGAAGTCCTCTGCGTGTCGCAGAGAAGGTATGACTCAAGCACGCGCAGATGCAGGCAGTCAAGTACCCATGAGTCAATCCTTGGCCTCGCCATTGCAACTGCATCCAAGGGAACAGTGAGGAACGCTTTGCACCGTCACTAATCGATGGCTCAGGAGAGCCAAGGCTTTCAACTGGTGCAAGCCGATTTTTTTTATTTTTTCCATGAAAATACCTGCTTGATATTTGGTACTCCGAATTTCATCGTCTGTCTTGCATGGGTTATGATTAATGATGTTGTTAAAATGATCGTGATGTTATTTGGAAGTGTTTTCCAAGAGGTACTAGCTAAGTATCCTTTACTTTCCCTCGCATGCTGCCCTGTCCTGGCTAGCATCACCATGACCACACTGAATGTGCTCGGTGCAGAAGACTGCATAAATAAGGGTATAGTTATGGCCTTTATTTGCGTAAATAGGGGCATAGGTATGGTGTCTGCTCACTTAAATAACCAGTGTCAAATACTAGGAGATGTGCAGCTACTTTCTGTTTCAGGATGTGTTACACTATTTGTTGGCAGTCAGCTGAGATATTTTAGATAAAGTAAGAGCATCGGTTCAGGGCTGGCGCTTCAGCATGTCAACATTGAGGAACAGAAGCAACTGGAAGTTCCTGGCTCTGAAAATTCATTTCTGTTTACCAAATATCAGTACGAAGCTCTGTTGAAGTTCATAGAGCTCTGTACTAGTGTGTGTTGCTGGAACTCTGTTACTACTGTGTAATATTTTCATTGTAATGTTTTTGCAAAAAATGCTAACTCCTGAACAACTTTTTTAAATCATCAAAGTTTACGATAGCTCTACGAACCTCTGGACACTTACTCCTAGGAGTGGTGCGAATTTACCACAGGAAAGCAAAGTACCTATTAGCAGACTGTAGTGAAGCTTTGACAAAAATGAAGACAGCCTTTCGCCCAGGTATGTACAGAATTCTGCATTTTTCCATCTGTGGGCCTTTACAGCTCTCATTTTAAAAGTTAATTTTGGATATTTCTGTTAAATACACATTATTGATCCCAAAGGAAATGGAACATACCAGTGCTTACTGCTGATGTTTAGTCTGGCTTAATTTGATGCCATTTCAGGTCTTTAACTCCTTCAAAAGAAGCGGTATCTTACATGGTCTTATGAGAAGAAGCTTGAATTCAGCCTCAGTTGCTAGATAATTAATTTTAATCTCTGATGACACCAACAACATGTCTAATAGTGTGTTAGTGCCAGATCTGACAGTGTGCTTTGAGCTCTAGCCATGGAGCCAGTGAGGAGGGAGCAGAGATAGCTGGATCCTTTTCCAATGGGCTGTATGTTTGTCGTACTTAGGCACCAAACGGGGAGGCACTGTTGTCTAAAAAAAGGGCTCAGAACAGGACACCAGGATCTATTGCCAGCCTTAACGTGCTTTGTGACCTGGTCTGTTTGCAGAATAGTTAATGCCCACTCTACATTATTCTCAAGGATATGATTGTGATTAGTTAGTTAGTATTTGTAAACATTGGAAATCTCTAGAAGGAACACTTAAGGGCACTGTACTGTCTATTTATAAGAGATAATATAGTAGCTTAGAGAGGACTGCACAGCACAAGAACAAGCGTCAATGGTCACAACTGCAGCAAGGGAAACTCCAACTAGGTATAAGGGATCCTACAGAAGGAGATACACAAGTGATAAAATGCTGAAACAGACTGTTCAGGGTGTGCTGTGGAACCTCCATCAGCAGAAACAGTCAGAAGTGATTTGACTTAGAAATTAACCCCATTTTGAGCAAAAGGTTAGATCAGATGACCTTCAGAAATCCCTTCTCACTTGAATTGTTCCAGGATTCTCTGATAACCAAGTACTTGCAGTCTGACTTCATAATTATTTGATGCTAGAGAATAGCATTATACAGACACTGGAGAGAAAAAGAAAATGTAATAATTCAGCTGAAGTGGTAAAAGACTCTAGGCTAAATGTCAGCTGTGAGAATCTTTCAGGGACTTAAAGCAGCTGTTCATAAACCCGATGTATTTACAGTATTTCAGGTCCTGTAGCAGCATACTCTTCTGTATCTGTCTATAAAAATATGGCTTCTACAGTACATGTAAATTAAGAATTTTAATTCCACTTCTGACTCCTGTTGACGAAGTGCCTAAGCTTTGCTTTTTTGTTATTTAGAATTGCAGCAGGCCTTCCTGACAGGTTTATAGTCTTATTGTATGTACTTGGGAGAACATTACTTTTATTTTATTGATGCTTATCTTGCTATCTTGTCTGTTTCTTTTAGGACTTGTTGACCTTCCAGAAGAGAGCTTTGAGGCTGCTTATCAGTCCATTACATTACCTGAAGAATTTCATGATTTTGAAACACCACTACCTGATTTAAAGTAAATGCTTTCCTAGTTCTTACTTGTTATGTTAGTATTTTCGGAAGTAAAAGATATCCTTGCTGTTATCTGATCAAGACTCAGATGGAATTGTTTTGATTTTATAACTGAATTCTCCTAAATTCCAAGTTAGCTTACAAGGCTACGGTCACAGGAATTGTGCTTTTGTAGAGTTCCTCAAAGTCCATTTAATCAACAGACCTTTCCAATGAAATAATGTATTGAACTTAGACTTTAGGATTTTCTAATTTTAAATTGTCTGTGTGAAGCCTGCAAACAACTTTCTGACCTCAAGAGCAGATATAAAAGTTAGTATAAATCCTGCTGTAAGACCAAAGAAGCTTTGGCTAGTAACCTCGCACTGTTGTACTGTTCCATTGTGTAACTGCATTTAACTTCTGCTCCATTGCTCTTTGGGCCTGGGTATTTTATCAGCAGTAGTCAGCTTGGCTCCCGATGAAAAGCCAGCATTTTTCTTTGGCTTTTCTGGCATGAATCACCATTAATGTAGAAAAACTGATAAAAACCAGGAGGCCAAGACATGTTTCTGGTGGCTGTGATGCTCCCAAAGGTCAAGGGTAAAAGACTTCTACTGTGGCTTCCTCTGTATCTCGTCATAAATACAGTTTGATGGGATCTGTAAGCATTTAGTATTTTGTAAGCACAGCTGTGATGTAATACTATTATTCAAGTACCTCAGTGTGCTAACTCTGTAAAGCGTGCCTTTTCTGCCTACCCAAAGAGTCTGTGTGGTTTGATTTACAGACGATGGTGTTACACTAATTAGATGCCCTCTATGGGACAAGTGTCTGGTAGATAGCAGGGCTTGGACGTGAACAAACTCACACAAGCCCAAGTTTACTGGCAGGAGAGAGTGGAGAAATATGAAATATGGAAAGGAGGATGGGTGCTTCCCTTGTTCTTATAAATATGCTTGCTGTTTCTAGAGGGCGTTACTTTCTGAGCATACATCTAGATGGTTTGTTCATGGAGTTCCAGGTGCTGGGGGATATTTCAAAGCTGAATTATCTGAATGTTTTCCCCTCCTCGTGGACCTCTCCCCAGCTATCTCCTGTTATGGCTATTGCAGATTCGGTCTTCACTGTACAATGTACATTGGAGATTGCATAGGAGCTTTGGCTAGCAAAGAAGGCAGCTGCCTACTTACTTAGAGCTATCAATTTTAATAAACATATAGCACCTGTTTTCCATATGCTTATTTTTAGCTTTTAGAGGGAATTCAAAGCAGTGAATTTTATCAATAAAACTTTAAATGGCTTGAGTGCAAATAGCTTTGGGAAACAGTTGTTCTCTCTCCACAGAAGTGAGGATCAGCCGTGATACTTTCAATGCCATAGAAAAATGAAGCTATATTTTGGGGGTTTACAATAAAGTGTCAGGATCTAAGAGTGTTTAGAAACAAGTTTTCACATTCCAGCTAAATGGTCGATAGGTTTCAGTTCACACTATATTTTGTATAATGTTTTTTTCATCAGTGCCATTGATGTTGCTGAACATTTTACCTTGAATCAGAGCAGAGCTGAAGACATCACACTTACAGAGGATTACGAAAGCAATATACTTCTCTGTGATAGAAACTTTGGTGAGAGAAGTTGAGAAATTAGAAATATTCCATAAGGAAAAGTGTGTTTTATGCAACATTTTGTGGAGTCTGAGTCTTTTCCACATGTGAAAAAGCTATTATTAAAAGTGCATTTATTTCATATTTGTGCTGATTGGCCTGTCATACTGTCTTATGCTTCAATTTTTGTGTAAGTACTCTGCGTAAGTAATCTGATATTGGAGACTGAGAATCAAACCCAAGTTTTTCTGCTTTTTACTGAATTAGCTAAAATTGTTTATAGTTTATTCCACTTGAGGTATGGGCTATCTTACAATCTTTTAAAAATTATTTGAAAAATTAGGAAATGGATAAAGATGTGTTTCAAAAATTCATGCAGATGAAGCATCAGAAATTCTGTGTTTATTCAGATGAAGAACCAGCTGCACTAAGAAAACAGAGCTTCTTTGATGGTAGCATGTTAACGAGCAGTAACAGTCTTGTGGCTGCTCACAACTCTGCGAGCACGGATGGAGACAAATCTGCACTGCATGAAGATAGTTACTGGTTTGAGCATGACTGTTTTGGAGATGAGGAGGATGCTGCAGATATGATTGGTAGGGTCTGCCACAGATAAACAGGATTAGTTTCTTTCCAAATATTTCTTTTATTACAGGAAAACAAATAAGACAGCATGAAATCGATTGTTTTGAAACATAATTTCTATCTTTCTTTTTGTTTTCGTACTTCCTTTTTTTTCTACTTGTCACTAAATCTATGATCACTTAGACATTGCCAAGTAAAATTGTAATAAAGAAGATATTTAAGTTTTTTAGAATTAAAGGCATTCAATTTATACTTAATGTTTACCAATTTAATTTATATTTTCAAAGGTACAATACTGCAGCATTTTTACCTTTATTGTTGTAATAACAAAGGCAGCAAAGTAGCTCCTACGTCTTTATGATTTAGAGTATTCATGTAACCCTTTATAGATTTATACCTTTTAAACAATATCAGTATCATACTTTTCAAAGAAAAGGTGGAAGTCTCAAAATTAAGACTAATGTTCTTTTTATACTGTTGAAGACAACTGTATCATTGACACCATCTGTGGAAGCTGAGCTTTTTTGCTTGCATAGAATTAACCTTAAATAAGTAATGTTAGGCTCTATCAGGCTATTTCATGACTACTAAGACTTCCAATGATTAAAACTATGCATTTTGAATTTAAGAAATCCTGTTGAGGGATGAGCAAAATGGCCTAGATAATGACATTCTTGATATGGAGGAAGAACGTCCTTTGTCACAAGATCTGCCAGAGAACAGCACAGCTAGTGAGTTTGCAGTGTCCACTCCCTCTTACTCACACAAACCCTCTGTTCCTGTATTAATGCCTAAAGTTACCCACATTCAGCTTTGTGTAATATCCCGTGCCTGTTTTCTTCAGTCATGTCCTTTGCTTTTTTCTAATATGCTTCATCCACCATTTTAGCTATAATTTAATTTGACCTAGGGATTCCAGATTTGTAACTTGATGTTGCTTTGAAACGCTTTTGTATGACATCCTGTTGGATACGCTGTTGATCCACCCTGCTGCTCAGACACTATGATAGCACTTTTGAAGGGGAAAGGAAACTGAATAAGGGTATGCTGTAACTTTGAATTTTACATGTGAGTGGTTCTGGCTTCATATTTCAGCAACAAATGACACTTTCATAGTTCATAAAGGTGTTGTTAGTCTTCTTTTGATTTGATATCAATTAAATTAATTTTTGAACTTGAAGGTTTTTTATATCTTAAACCCTTATACCCTCAGCACGCTGTTAATTTAAAACTGAGAATTCTGGAACATCTTTAAAGGGCAACACTGGCACTTGCCCCTCCTTGCACTAGTCCTGGTACTACCTGTTCTTTTACATTGACAGAAATGCCCACACTGCCATGCAGTTGCCTGGAACTGGAAACAGATGGGTATTGAAGAGAAACACTTTTCCCCCTAAACACTTTTCATCGGGTGGGTCTTCCTCCAGATCAGTTCTTCAGTCTGTTCCACCACCCGGTCATACAGGTTCCGATGTCAGCAAAGGGAAGCGTGCAGTGCAGAATGTGAGCAGCAGCAGTGCCAGCTATTACTGGTTTAAGTGACTGTGAGATTATAGATAAAATCATAGTTTTCTACTTCTGATCTTTTTTGTCTGATTTCATTCTATGTCATGAGATTGAGACATTATTCCATCTTGCAAACTTTTTTTTTCTTTGGGTTATTTGCTGGGTTTTCTTATAGTTGAGTCCAACTGCGCGGACACCACCGATAAGAAAGTCAGTCATGTAATGAATGAAGCAATACTTTTATTGAAAGAAGAAGAAGGATTTGTGCTTGAACCAGTTAATGATACAGGTCAGAACTTGACCAGAATGTTAGTGTTAACTAGAATTGTTTTTCTTCTTGTTAGTGAAAATCTTTACAAAACAGATTATTCCCAGTGTAGATTTCACCTGCTACTGCTGTCAGAGTTCCAGTTTATGATAACTATTATACAAAAGCAGTATCAGGTCATTCATCTGATCTGCCCAAATCTCTGCTTACGGTTTCTTCCACAAACCAAATTGAGTTTTGTTTCTCTGCAGTTCTGCTAGCAGTGCAAGCCCAGCCTGTTCATGAGTGTTACTGAAGAACTTTTATTGCTAGTGACACATCAGTGATTTTTATGTGTAAAATAACAATCTTAAAACTTTCAGGCCTTTGTGAAAGTTTGTTTTGTGAACTTCTAACTTTAATAAGATCCAAAACGAAAAATGTTTCATTTCTTCTGTGAGTAAATATAAATGTCACCTATCACCTTGGTGGCTGTTAGCAAATAAATAAGTTCATGTTGACACTGATATTTAGAATACTGTAATTTTCCAGCCTACCAAAATAATCTTCAGGAAGTTATGGCTATATAATCGAACCATGTTTTTCTTTTGCGCTTACTATGTACATCTTAATTAAATTGCTAAAGGATTAAACTGACAAATACAGATATTAATTACAAGGTAATGAAACCTGTTGAGTACATCAGCAATTCTTGGAACAATTAACTTCCTGATGGATTAACGATAGCTTATTCAGTCTTGTTGGTATATCATGTGTTCTCATTAAGTCCTCATGTTCCTGATTCTTTAGTACAACAGTCATATGTCTTCCGTAATTAAACATATGTGAGTTTCCTGTACAAGAATACAAAGAGTATACCTTATGAAAACTTTTGGAGAAATGGCCCATGCACTTGCACTTTGATTTTCAACATTGTGCGGTGTTTCAGGAGGTCAGCAGCCTGTTTGTTTGATTCGCAGTGGGTTTTTTTGTGCGTTTAAGTGTTCTACGAATAGACCTTTAATTAGACTGATTTTTTTTTTATTAATACTTGCTCTATTTAGCTGTCGCCCAGAGGAAAAAAAATAAAAGAAAGAGGAAGTTGCTTGTGGATGTAAACAAGGAACTCGGCTGCAACGCTATATACAACCAACTTAACAACTGCACAGACATCCTTGCTACGTTAGACCTCGCACCCCCAACGAAAAAAACAATGATGTGGAAGAAATCAGGAGGTGTGGATAAACTCTTGTCCCACACTACACAGCCTGTGTTTCATGCTGAGCTACAAATGGTAAAGATCAATTCCTTGTAGGTTTTTATGCCACTGAATAGATTAAGGGACTGTTGCACATCTACAATCTAACTGTGAGAGATTTTGCAGGTTTGGTTTTATATGAACTCCTAGCAAAGTGCAGGTGTGTAGCGTCATTGAAAGTATTGTTTTGCAGTGCAGTTCATTTGCATATCTGATGATTATTTGCATACCCACCACTAATTGCTTCATCAGAAAGACCATCTGTAGAGCGCCCGGCTTTAGTCTCCAGCACTCCAACAAGAAGTAAAAAATGACAAAGAAACTTGAGAGATGATGTTTCAGTTCACATACCAGCACATGACTCATTGTACACTGATACACAACTTCTGAGATTTCTGACAATTTATTTTCTACTTTCTACTTTGTTTTATTCTTTTCTGTTTCTGCTCTGTAATCAATATGAGACCACATCTTTCTTCTGTATTTACTTTAAAGGTACATGAGACTTAAACACTTTTATTATTATTATTGTATTCTTAATGGCTTTGGAAACATGGTATGCTAATATCTCTTGTACTTTCCCAATTGGAGACTAAGCTTGTAGCTGGAAAGCAGTCAGGGATTTGCCTTTCAGAGGACCAAAAGGTTCCTGATCACTCCATCACTTTGGCTACACGGGTGGGCCAGACCACCCTTTCTGTGGCTGTGGACCTTGCTACTCTTTTTGCACAAGAAAGATGTACTTGTTTCATGGAAATACGCTCTATCAAAGCCTCTCGTGTCCCCACATAGTATCTGACAGAGCATTCAAAGAAGCTGTAGTTTTAGAGCTGGTGATAAGATAAAGAAGAGATCAATGTGTATACAAGGTGATATGGAAAGATACGGTGTAAACTCTGCAGCAGCCTTATGTGAGTTGCACTGTGTTTCTTCTGTTAGGTGGCTGTGAGAGATCTGGGAGGCAGGGTCTGCGGGAAAACAGCTCTGCAGGTTCATTACAGCAGCACAGCTTCACCGCTTAGAGTCGAGGTGTAGAATTACAACTTGCTCTTTATGAAGATAAAAAATATTCACCCACTGGTACATGGGGAGAGAAATCCACACAGAGATAACTGCAGATGGTTTTATTCTTTCATCCCTCCTTACTGGCTGGCTTCAAGGAAAAATGATCCAAGCTGTTCCAAAGACATTTCTTTATGGAGTTCAACGCCAAAGTTGAAGCTGCAAAAGGAAATTACTTTTTTTAAAAACTGCAGGTTTTCGGAATGACCTAATTCAAATCTCTAAAATCTAGGTTGCAGTAATTAAGATACAGCTCATATATTCATACCTTTTTGTTGATGTTCCCAAATAATCTGACATGATATTCTGAAAGCAAACAAATAAAAATATTTTTTTTCAGTTGTTTGCAAAATGCTTCAAGAGTCACGGATTTAAGATGAGAAGAAATGGAATACAGAGGGTGTCTGAAATGGAAGAAACGAGAAAAGAGAAAGATACCACAGGTACTATTTTAATTCTGTTGTTGCAGAATTAGCTGTTAGAAAATATTTTACATAATGTTTGAGACACACATGCATGGTGTTTGTCTGCAGTATTCTACAAATAAAAGGCCAAAAAAGTTAAACATAAAGGAAATTGACTGTTAATTATTTTTAAAAAGTACTTTGCTTTTCTTTTGTTCCTTAGATCAGAAATGAAATGCAACTCTTTTTTTTCCCTTGTGGCATTAGGAGGTGGTTTTGTTTTCACCTTTGGTTTCTCTAGTTGGCTACCAAACAGCAGATTTGTTGTTTGGTGGGTTTTTTTTCTGAGCTTAAGCAAACCACTGTCCAAATTTCCAAATTCATGTAAATAACTTCTATTTGCATCTTGAAGATTGTGTTTTGGTTAACATCAAACTAGAAGAAATGTTCCATTTTAGATCTGAGAAGGTGATGTATCTGCTTTCACTCCTTTGCTCTGCTAGAAATATAATCCATACGTCTGCCTCAGAAGTTAGTCAACAAAATCACCTCCTGCAAGTCCATAAAGGTCAATTTTAGATGCTTCCAGGAAAAACTTGCTTGAAACGTTCTTGTTCTGTGGTCCTATTAGGAATTATATTTATTCTATATTTACTCATTCTGGCTCTTACTCTCAAAGATTGCTAGACTAGAGTGTGATTTTTCTTTTTCTTTTTTTTTTTTTTTAAGGACAGAGATTCACAGTAATTTCCTCTTAAACCTTGTTTTTTATTAATACAGAGATGCTGATAGTAGAAGAGCCAAGTTACCTACAGGAGTCAGCTCATTCAGAGACTGAGAGAAAAATCAGAAATGATTCATTTATGTTGACATCACAGAATAACAGAAATGAAACTGGTCATAACTGTGGTGAAACTATAGTGAGCAGTTTCCATAAATTTTAGAGACCTAAATGTGTTTATTGGTTTGATTTTACACTAGGGTTCCATTTAAAATGTTAAGAAATTACTAATATATGTTTGAAAAGGATGCTAGAGACAGCCGATATAGCATTAAGTAGCTTGTGTTGTGAAAGTTTATTTATAAGCACATTGGTAGACTCTCACAATGAATGAACAATTAATTAAAATGTCTATTAATCAGTATAGATTACAGTCTACTCACTAAGCATAAATGAAACCTTAATATGAAATATAGCCTCTTTATACTGAAGAGATAAATATAATCATCTTTATAAAGGATAAAACTTATCTTTTGTGTCTCATATTGAGGAAATACTTCAGCAATAACAAATTATCTATTTCTGCCATCTTTATTTAGGCTAACATGACAGGGCATTCTTTAGAGAATTTGAGGCTCATTAAAGTTGAAATCGGATGACAAAATTGGACCTAATGGCAGCAGAAAACACAGTGTCTGTGCCTGAACTGAGCCCATAGACGTAGATCCAGCTGTAGGATAAATACCACAGCAAGGTCCTTTCTTATGTGAGAGAAGACATGATAGAAATAGCAACTCTGAAATAATTTTGGAAAATGTTTATTATAATAAATTCGTGGAGCAGATTTATGTAATTGAGAATTATGTAGTATGCATAAATTGTAATGCCTATTCATCGTCCTTTCTGTTCCAACAGCAGGGTGGAACGGCTTTCTCTGAGAGCTCCCCACTGGTGAACAGTTTGCTGGGCCAAGAAGCTGAACCCCAGCAAGCTGAGTTAGCAAATGTATGTGTACTCAAAGCTGACAGCTCTGACTCAGAACAGAACTGTGTTCTTTCTCAGAAAAATTAAAAAAAAAAAAAGTGATGACATCATGAACTTACAGTGGTTTTTGGTCTACTAACAGCATCTTTAGTACATATTTTGCCAGTCAAAAACTTTATAGCTTGATAATCGGGCATACATGTAACATTCAAAGGTTACAGTTCGTGAGGGAAACAGCTCCTTAGTTAGAGATTGTTCTTCCTGTAAGAAGGAAACAGTTTCTGAACTTACTGGCTACGAGGATACTCAGACACGCTGAAACAAGGGTAGTCTTCTCCTGTCAACTTCAGAGGTTAAGCCCAAAATCTAAAGCCAAATTTTTGAACATCCTTTTTGGCCCCTGACCAGTACAAATACTGTCAGAATCCCAGTCACGCAGAACAATATCTTCTTGTGAAGCTGCCTCCCCAAGGCTCATTGGGACTGCTTCCATAATACCTAATGTGTTGTTGCACCTAATCTGTCTCTTTGTAGCAGAAAGAACATAGTGAGCTTTCTTTTCTCTGCTTCGCAAAGCCTGGTGTGACCACAGAGGTGTCAGAAGTCCCAGATATCCCGAGTATGGCCATCAAAATACGCAGCTCCAGTTGGATTTTTAATTAGGCTAGAACTCTTGTCCTTTATATCATCATGGTGTGTGACTTCTTACACGTCCTGTCTAACCTTCTGTTCTATTTCCTCTCAAGGAACTAACAAGGAACGGGAAAGACAGTGAAGAAATAAGGTGGAGCAAAAGAACTCTTCAGTTATTAGAAAATTTACAGGTACCAGTGCTGGATTTTGTAATTAGATGCCAAAACCTGGTGTTGATTTCAATTGAACCATGTCAGAAAATCTCTTACTTATACTGTTGATCATATTGCTGCCTCTCATATACAGCATATAACTGCATTTTATTGGGTATTTATGTAGCAAGCCAGGACTCCAAGCGCCTGACACAGTGTCCTCTCCCATAGCTGCTGGAATCGCTAGAATTTTCTAAACGTTTGCTTCCATGGCAGTGTTTGTTGTAATGCTAAGCCCTTGCTCTCTTCCCTCAATGAGTATGTTCTAGAGTGTCTCTACAAAACCCAATTTCTAGCTGCTTACAGGTTGCCAGATCTCAGCTGAGCACTGCATGGTGCCATCATTTGGCTATTCATCTGCTTGAGCTGTTTCTGAGGTGAAGGCTAGGGAAAGGAGTGAAGGTGATGTTAAAAAGAAAGCTGGTGACCCCTTCTTTAGGAGGTTTTAGTGCCCCAGTGCTTTCAAGGTGCTTGAAATTTAGCAGGGAGCTAAATTTCCTAATTTAGTCTTTGAATCAGGAGAGCTTATTCTGCTTTTCTTGCAGAAATCCTTGTAAAACTGGTGAAGCTGTAACATATGATACTGTATGTTGAATCAACAGGGCCAGCACAGGCTGCCGTGATGCTGAATGTCCAAATCTTGGCCTAACGGCTCAGGGCTGTTCCTTCCTTTTTGCCTGGACGAGTGTTCTGGTCCTCCAACATTGGTCTGGTTGGGGGGAGTGGAAAAAACACGGCAAAAAGTTATTTTCCTTCAGGTCACTTCTCTAATCCAAAGTGTCACGTGGCTGAACGGAGAATGGAGGAAGGCGATGGAGAAATCCAAGCGTGGGCAAGAGGGCATGGGGAGCGGGTTTTGTCCACAAAACACACCAAACGTTGGTCCAAGCCTAGCTCTTCCCTAGGGATGGAGTTTGACTTCGCAGTCTTCATGTTGTTTTTTTAAAAAATTATTTTCTGTGAACGTATTTCAAAGGTTCTGTGCAACGCCCATAAATAAATACTTACATATAAGCACAGCCATTAAAACACAAGCAGTAATAACACTTAGTTAGCTGTGATGGAAATTGCCTACGATGCAGCTGGTACTCTGTATCCAAAGCACAGGGTACGCAATGATTTTTACTGTTTTGAATCGTGAAACCCGTTACAGATGCGCTTCATCGCTTGCCTCAGTACAGTTTCATTGAATTCAGTGGAATTGTGGGCCTATGTAGATTTCAGTAACATATGTAGGTGCTAGCAATGTTATGGCTATAAAATGTTAAGAGCCACTTATACGAATGCAAATGCCAAGATAGGAACCTGTTTAAAGCCTGTAAGCAGAAAATACTCTGCGCAGCGCTCTTCAGTTCAGACTGGATGGGATCTGGTGTTACTGGCAGTGAAGCTGACCTGACTGATTCTCTTTTTTCCCTTATGCAGCACCTGAAGCGATCAGGCGTGCGTGCTTTCAGTTTTTGGGAGCTCTGCCGGAAAAACAAGCGGAAAGAAGTTGCAGTCAAGTTTTACACCTTTCTTGTTCTAAAGAAGCAGTCGGTTATTGAGCTGAGACAGAGCGCTCCCTTCGCTGACATTACAGCCACCATTGGCCCCATGTTCAACACTCGCTGAGATCATGTAGTAGTGGGGTAAACTAATGAAAATCAATCTTACTCTAAATTTTCCAGAAAATATATTTCCTGGAAAATGGTTGACGATCTTGTCAAACTGTGGTAAGTGAGCAGAGCTCTCTTCTGTTTCGTTTTCTCAGAGCTGCCAAGGAACTGCCTCGTGCAGGTGCGCTGCCTCAGTATTGGTTCCCAAGGTGTTCACTAGGATGTTTATTTTTAATATATATGTTTATAGACAAGCAGTTCCTTATTCTGTTAATAAAATATCGCTAAAATACATATTCTACATAAGAGAGTTACATTGTGAGGGATTCTATGAAAGTCCTGTAACACCGTTCTTAGAGACCAGCTTTGGAAGTTAAACGATTTTTAATGGGGTTTGTGTGGCTTAATTATCGAACGCCATCAGTAAGAGAAGTCTATTAAGCTCTCTTTATTAAAAACTTTAGTCTATTTGAAACTATTCCTTTCAAAAAATGTTCAGTATTTGTTATTTTAAGGTCTAGCAAGATACTGTCTCCAGCATCGTTTTCATGTGTTCAGGCAGAGGGAAGTTACGCTACCCCTAGAAGAGTCACGTAAGCTTCAGAAAGAAATCCTCTTTCCTAGAAATCCTGCAGTTTTCCGTTTCATGGAGCACATTTACTGAAAGACTAACACTTTATTTATGTGTAGACCTATTTAAAAATGGATGTTAAACTGAAACATTGTTAGTTCTTTGCATTTTTATCTAATCTGGAATATGTTTTAACACTTTTACTGTCATTTTGTAAAGTTAGCATTTTTCAGTAGCATCAAACCTGCGATGCACAGGATGGTTGTGTGCGTTCAGCGCTCTGGAGTGTTACAGTGTGTGCCGATGGCTCTTAAGATGAAATCAATAAAAATCAGAAGATGTTTCCTTAGCTCATCAGCGTTTGTTTGGAAGGATCAAAACTGGCAGCCGCCTAAGCTGTCCTTTGGGTTTGCCTTCTCAGAGTCGGTGGTTTTGGTGAAAATTTGAAAGGATGGATGATATTGTCATCCTGGCTCACTGGGTGTCCGCTCGCCTGAGTCATGTCCTGCTAACGCGTGCTGCTCCTGTCATGTGCCGATTTATTTGCCTGCACGGGGTTTAGAGCAGGTGAGGAATTGATTTTGAGGGGACTGTTCAGAGGAGTAAAAAGGCTTCAAAATAGCCGACAGCCCTGTGCTGGGCAGGAAGGGGTGGGTCGGGGTTGGGGATGTTTCCAGCTGCTTTTCTTTTTCCCCATGTTGGGAATATTTGATAAAATAAGCAATAAGAAGCCTTTGCTGCTGTTCTCTGAGGAGAGTCCATTTCTGGGTATAATGGAGGGAAAAGCAACTCTGTTTGGTAAAACCCTTTTTTTCTCTGCAAAAGAAATGCTCTTTTCCTTTTCTGATGGGAACGGGAGTGGTGGTCTCCAAGCGTAGCCTGACTGTAATCAAAAATGGCTCATTTCCCTCTCCTCTTTGGGGCCAGACCCAGCAGTTTTGTTCAGGAGCCGAGTGCCGACCCGGGGTGAGGAAAAGGTTCGGTTCTCCAAATCTCACGCTCAGCATCTTGGAGCGAGCCCGTGGCAGAAGAGGAGTGAGAACCTCTCCCCTGTTCCCCACATCACACCCCATCCCTGCCGACGCTGTGTGTCTCCCAGTGAGCCCCCTGCTTGGTGGGCCAGCGTGCCGTGCCATGCTTCCCGGGAAACCGAGCACTGCAGGCCAGGGAGGGAAGGAGAAACTGGTTTTTTTCCCCAAAAAAGGCATCCGAAATGACTCTGCATCTCAAACCAGAGCTCCTGCCTGCGCCACGTCTGCCACTGCCACATGCTAAGAGCAGCTCCAGTGGCAGCAGATGCGATAAGTCATTAATTTTCCTTTCAAGGAGAGAGGCTGTGCATTGGATTCACCAGGAAAAGAGGGAAACAAAAGGAGGCTGGAGGCGAGCAGGCGGCAGGCAGGAATAAATGAGAGGCAGGAGAGATATACATTGAAAACAGTCTGTGCATTGGAATAAATGAAGTACAAATCTTGCAGGAAATAGTCCTGGAAGAGAGAGTCATGCGTATTTACAAAACAGGTTTGTCAGAACTCCCAAATAACCGCGGGGGAGTTGCAAAGGGAGCTGCGAGGGCAGGGGAAGCGCCCCACCATGGCGAGCGGCGAGCTCCGCGTCCCCGTGCGCAGGGTCAAACGGGGTTTTGATCTCGCCCACCGGTGCGCAGCTGCTGGCCTCGGGTCCAGATCCAAACTGGGAGCAGGTTCTGCTCCGACAGTGATGACATGTGAACAGTTTCCCTCCATGAGTCTATACGTGCATGTATACATGTAGGATGTTATGAGTATGTATGCAATGTATATGTGCACCTCGCCATTCTCCCGGTCTCTGAAGCCGACCTCGGCCGTGGTCACCGGAGCACCGCTGGAGCCAAAGCCCCTCTGCTCGCCGTGGGGGCCACAGCCAGTGGCTCGGTGGCTCCCAGTAAGCACTGAGCAGCCTCAACCCTAGACATTTGCTCATTAAATAACTGGGAAAGGTTAAGCTCGATGGCTACAGAAGGCAACCTGTAGGTAGTACCATGAGTAACCAGATTGTGCCAAAGAGAGCAGCCACGCCGTGCCGGCGGTGACCAGTCCCAGCGCCCACCAAGCCACCGGGGCAGCGGCTCAGCTCCACCACCGCTGATTCCCAATCCCAGCCCCGCAGCTGGCGCCGGGCTGACCCGTAGGTATTTAAATGAGAGAAAAGATTTTCAATTATTTATTTATTTATTTATTTAACTTTATGAAAGTGCGTCATTAATTAGGTGTACAGATGTCCTCAAAATTGGACAAGTTAGATGAAAATTACGACGCTGCGGGAGGCGGAAGGGGGGAACTCCGAGGGCCGAGTGGCCG